CCGTAGGTTACAGTTTTTCATCCTTTGAGATTGTTTTCACGACAGGCTCATATTTTTTTAGACTACAGTCGATTATCTGTGGTAATGAAGGGGAAGAGGGAGCCTAGATAATCCAAAAACACAGATATTACAAAACACACAAAAAACTTATATAAATATATATATGTGTGTGTGTATGTTTTTTCTGAGAAAGACAGAAAAGTTGAGAAACGGATTTTGACATAATATTCAACATGATAGGCTTTACTATAGTAATGACATAACATTCAACATGATAGGCTTTACTATAGTAATGACATAACATTCAACATGATAGGCTTTACTATAGTAATTTAAAGTCTCCTTTTATTATATTTTTGATTTATTGAATTGCAGAACACAGATTGTGTAAAACTAGTTTGATGTTTATACATCACGGTGCTTATGATTCTAAGGGTGTGCTGTTTACGTATACAAAAATACTGTCAATATTCATGGGCATCAAGATGGGGCCACTTGCCCCCTCCTTGAAAATGAGAAACACAATTATTTCTTTATTCATTCAGTATATGTATATGAATTTTTTATTCAATTCACAATTTCGGCTTTTTCACACTACTTTACCCCCCTTCCTTCTGGGGACACCCATGTCAATATTACAATTAATTCTACTAATTACTGCTGAGGTTCTTCTGTAATTTAGATATAAGTTGTACAAGTTCACCCAGTTTTCTGTGCTAGGTCTTTACTTTGAGTATTGTAACAAACAAAACATATACTGTATGCAGTATATTGACCTTCTGGGTAGCAAACAGTGTGGAAACAGGTCAGTGATTTCAGGGTTAAGAGGTTTTCAATTATTCTTGTCTTTAGAAACTTCCAATAAGATAATCTGCATGTGGTTCTCTCTGAACAGTTGTTAATTCTTCAGAAATCTATGAGTAATAGGTAAACGCAAAGATTAAATGATCATGTTGCTTAATTTTATAGAATTATAGTTTTAATTACATTTAGATTGAGAATCGTAACAAATGCAAGAAATATATTTATCATTTTATGACTTACATAATAGTATTTTATAATTTAAACTTAAGTTTTCTTGCTAGTGTATAGTATATACATTTATTCTTAATATAGATGGTTATTTTTTGTTTGGAAATAAGCTTTTATACAACTGGGGTATTTTTGTGAAAAGTATTTACTCATTAATATTATAGATGGATGAAATGGAAAACCTTCGAATAGAGACAGAACTAGAAAAACAGAAATCTCTGAGAAACAGAGTTCCAGAGAACAGAGACTCAGGTGTAGCAGATATAGAGATTTTCCCGACACCTAGCCGAGACAAAAACAGACTCTCTCCTGATGGACAGGGTTCAAACTTGAAACATTCTGCCTTGTCAAACTCTCTGCTTGACCTACATGATCAACGTAAGTTTAATCTGTTACATTACTTATTATTAACCTTCCTATAATAACAGTTTATAACACTGATACGTGTTGATCATTACTATAATTGATATTATCTGTTAAGTGAAATACGTTACAGTGGGCGATGATTTACTTTTTGGAAGCCTTACGTTATCCTTCTTCAAGTCTTCTGAAGAAGGGAGAGTTCCAAAACATCTTACCACGTCAGGCCATAAAGAAACTGTTTTAATCTGTTTAACCTTCCAAGTACTATATTTAAAACTGATGGCTGTTGATATTACATTTAATCTTTGCCTAATGTATTCAGCTTTATGATCAATGATTGTTGATATATTAATTCTTTATCTAATGTATTTAATATTCTGACAAATTGTTTTGTTCCTTTTAAGCCCAGAGTTCGATTAAATCATATGAGTGAAATTAATTATTGTTTTCAACTGTAAAGTTTTAGAGGTCGGTTCAACATTACAAGTTAATTGAAGTTGTTTAAAGTTAACAGTAGTTTTAGAATTATGATGGTAGATTTTAGCTTAACAATCGAACTCTAGGCTTAAAATAGTTGAGTTAAGCCTAATAATCGAACTCTATGCTTAAAATGGTTGAGTTAAGCCTAATGATTTGTTTCATCATGACTATTTTTAGAAATGAACAAGCCTGTTCGAAGAGGTAGTGCAGGCTCTTTAGATAGTGGAATGGTAAGTTTTTGTTTTTTAACAGAAATATATATATTTTGTTCACTAGGCCAGCATATGCAAGTTATAATATTGTGATTAAAAGGTTAGAGAAAAACGACCTTTAAACTCCAGATAATTATATAAGAACTTTTTATTTAAACCAACGTTTAGCCTTTGCGGATTCATCAGGGTTAGTACATATATATAACTATTTATAATTATCTGGAGTTTAAAGGTCGTTTTTCTCTAATCTTGCAATCAAAATGTGTAAATTCCTCCAGTGTGCACTACAAATTTTGAAAGTTATGATACTACCAGTATGTTTAAAATTAATTCCATAATAAAAGGCGATAAAGTATGTAACAGCTTAGTGTAATTGATACTGTTTTTAAGTGACAAAAGGACCTATAACTACTACAGATCGTTTTCTTACAGCCTTAGTTGGACAAAGATTATAGGCTAATTAACAACTAATTTTTTCTAATCCACATCTAGTAATTAATGTAGTTGTAATTTGTACAAAAAAAGTGGTATATATTTGGAAGACTTTCATAGATAAGACATAAAACTCAACACTACATTAACAAGGGAGAGTAAGCCTAAAACAAGTTATGTATATACTTATTCTTCATAATGGTACCATACAATAATTGTAAAGTAAGTTCTTAGCTTAATTTTTTAACAGAATAATTTATTAGATCTAAAAAAAAAGCTAAGCCTTTATGTATAGTATTTAATTGATTAATTAAGCCTATAGCAATCTAAGACTATACTTTTGTTTGCCCACGGAATGGTTCATTAGGCTTAAATCAAGCTAAGACTATATTTATTCTTATTGAAAGATGTGTTTCCTTGCTTTATATAAGGTGTGGCCAATTAATATCGCCCTACTTCTGGAACAATGTTTATGTCAACGACAACAACTTTTATCGTTATTGTTTGTTTGTAGTAAAGCGAAAACCTACATAATGGGCTATCTATGCTCTGCCCACCACTGGTATCGAAACCTGGTTTATTGTTATACTTTGCCCATTGGACAAGTACTTTTTCAATTAATTATTTTAATACAACTTTAAAATTACTGTTATTGCCATTATAAGACATAAACAGTAGTGTTGCACTTAAAATGTATACTGCACAAACATAAATACACAAAATCAATAACAAATATACCTTCTTTCTGGTAAATTTTGAATGTAACTATAATATCATAGGACGTGCTTGTCTTTAAAAAACACTTTCTTTCTAAAAAATCTGCGTTTTTCAGCTGTAATGGCAGTTTTATTTTTACTCTGAGGTTTTGGATTCTATATTATATTTCT